CGGGGATTGCATGAGTTTAGGTATAATATACTTGATCTCATGTAATGCATGCAGCGAGGAATATATCGGGGAAACGGGTAGACCACTTTGTGTCCGCAAGAAAGAACATCTGGATGGGAAAGCTAAAATCCGTTTAAACACACCCTCTAGGTACGCATAGGGCACAAAAGCACAACGGCGATGATTTTGAAGTGAATGTGCGGATCCTAGCGCAGGAATCAAAAACATCAACGCGCAAAACTCTTGAGGCGTTTTGGATAAATTTCAAAAATCCAAAGAAGAACCGGAAGGACGAACACCTCACTATCACGCGTGACCTGGCGCCCTATTTCAAAATGATATTTTGACCCCGGGGCGTGTCTTGCTCGCGTGAACTACGTGTGGGCCAGTCCCGCACGTAACATCACGGTGAGTGGCCTTTCTGTTCAATATGGCGTCTATTTGAAAGTTTGATCTTCATTAATACTTTAACTTTCTTTTCCACCGAGTAATAAAAAGTGTTCTAACATAAAGTACGTCCAGGCTCTGAGGAAGGCGAAGTCGCCGAGACGTCAGCCATCTTTCAATAACATCAAAAACAACGACAACGACAGCGAAGACGTGTACCAACCTCGCGTCAGCTTAAGAAGATCAGTTTATAAGATCACATAAAAAAATTAGCAAAATAATTTATACCTATGGAATTATAAGGCGAAATCTCTTCTAGAATTCCGTCATGTTTACAATCTCCCATGTTAAATAGTTATCGACAAGCTCTGTTTTCAAAAAACAGTGCACACGTAGTAGCTGACAATTATGCGCCGTCCCAGCTGGCAAGACCGCTAAACTCCACCCGTGGGCAATGTGTTAAACACCTTAGAGGTGCTTGAAAGCATATTTGGGTAATATTGTGTCTTTCGATGACCTACTACTTTATTAAGTCAGTGTTACAAATCTACCAGACAAACCTGACCTCAATTTTCAGTCTCTGAGGAGATGAAATTTTGGTTAGGCTGATATGTGGGATTGAACCGATGACCAAGTGTCTATCGGGTGACACCTCTAGCCACTCGGCCACACGTGCCGTGGTTACGTAATTAAAGTGGCCAATACAATGACAGAACAGAACTCACCGTACTATTGAACCAACTTTTGGATAAAAAATTGCAGTGAGCACAGCTATACTCACTATGATTGTATTCAAAATGAGTACAAAGACAATCCTGAACAAAAGTAATAGGTTTGGCATTAACAAATTAGATGTAAAAAGATGTAAGCATTTAAAAACATGTGTAAAAATAAATTCGTACGAAAAATATGTAGGAAGAAAATAAGGACACCACCTATACGTAAATTGCGCTCAAATTTCTTATCAACAGTAATGTTTAATTTGTATGAAATGCTGAGATATTTGCAAAACTCCGGACCGCAGGTGTATGCAGTGGGAAACGAAAGCGCTACTACCTTTTCCGAACCTAACGCGTTCACCACCACACCGTGCGAGTGAAAATTGTGGTAGGCAGCAAATAAAAAGTTAACTCCCATGACCGACTTTCTGTTAACCTCGGCATTAATTGATAATTCAATGTTTTTCATCAATAAGCAGACACGAGGTTGTTAATATAGAATTTATTAGAACACAATTGCTGACGTTTCGGCGGTTTCGCCTTCTTCAGAGCCTGGAAAGGTCAAATTGAGATGCGATCTACTCAGCCAAACACTTTCATAACCCTAGCAGATAAAACTTGATAAATCGATTTTCATTCGCATAAACCGCCGAAACGTCAGCAATTGTGTTCTAATAAATTCTATATTAACAACCTCGTGTCTGCTTATTGATGAAAAACATTGAATTAAAAAGTTAACATTGTGATTTCAACTACAGCCTCAGCTTAACTGGGTTACATGTCAATTTGGGCTCCCAGATCAATCCCGTTGACGAGTGATTGCTGACTGCAGTGATCAATAGAACTGGCTGAGAGACAGGCGAAGCGAAGGACCCACATGGTGTGGTGGAGAATGCGTTAGCTCCCGGAAATGGAAGAAAATGGGTTCGTTCCCCACTGAAGATACCTGCGGCCCGGAGTTTTGCAAATAGTTCAGCATCACTGTGGTTGAGTAATGCTTGATGTCCGTTCGATAAATTCGGAAATTTCTGAAGATCGACAGAAAAAATAAATGTTTCTTTTTCTTCGTAGTATTACATTTGCATAATTGAAAAAAACATTGGCAGAGATAAAATACGACTTCTTCAGTGTTTTTTTAATTTTATCGATTTTCCTTTTTGTAATAAAATCACTTTAAACAAAATATTTGCTTTTTAATTTAGAAAAAGTTCTGACTTTACCCTGGCCATGGATTGTTGTAAAGTAAACATGAAATCTGTGAACGAATTAAATACATAATCAGCGGGAAAATAGAGAATATCTGGAAGAAAATTAGCACTCGGGCCACCGAACTTGGCGAATAGGCGACGTCAAAGTTATTCAACAAATTCTGTAAAAAATTTTCTTCAACAGCTGAAATATTGGCAGCAACAAGAACATCAGCAACAGCAACAACGACAACGTAGCTGTTCAGGCATTATAGCTTTCATACGAAGACTTTCTTTTGGATGTTTTTTAGCGAGATGGTGCCCAAAGGTGGCTCACAGGCCAATGGCCTGAGGACTGTAAGGTTAGCTCTCGTCCTTCTTTCCTGAAGTTCTGTTGATACGGTAGAGCTGATATGTAAGCGTCACTGATGTGTATTTCTGACGTGCAGTGCAGTGCAGTGAATAGTGGTGATGTGCAATAGCATAGGACCTTTTGGTTCGATTCAGCGCATAACTAAGCCAATCCCATGACCAAATTGTTCTATGAGGCAAATACGAATTCGATCACCCCTTGATGCCTAATGGAATCAATACCTGATAAACCCCTAAGGAATTGCTCACTGCAAACGCTTTACGACGCTTTACGTCTCAGTGCTGTCATTAATACAAAAATTGTAAGTGAATCCAGCTCATCAAACACAGAGAACATTACATTCCTCGGCACCACCCACGCCTTGCGGCAGGCCAACTCGCGTATAAAAAAGGTTCTCGTTGTTTAAAAAGAGAAAATTTCTAAGAAAATGGAAGATGTGAAAAGAATCTCGTGACTAACGTCCAGTATGCAGCTTCTTGGAAATGGAAAAGCGATGTAAAACGTCAGTGATATGGCAATGTAACTCATTCCCACCAATGAATAGCCAACACAGAGATCTCTCGTCTAAATGGGTATCTTTCAGTGAAATATGTAATGTTCGAGACAAAAAGCGCTTTTCGTTTTCTAATTTCTAAGAAAATTTTTCGGAATCTAGGACAGCCATGAGACCAGGATATCTTGGACTTGGTGCAGGACTGATTTTCCAACGATATCCTTAGGTTTCTCAGAAAATTCCACCATAATACGGTCCACAGGAATATTTTTTCTGTTGAGTTTTCAGTCTTATAAGTATGTCACCAATATAACTGAAGGCATTCGCAAATAGGGCAAAAAGTTATTATAGACCATAACAGTTGTTCTGTTTCTATTTTTCATTTCATTTTTCTTTCAACTCGGGCTTTCGCTCTTCACTGTCCTCTGGCTAAGCATTGTGCTACCAATGTTAACGAAGCGTTAGGGCTGCTAGAAAGTAACAGCATCACTAAGGAAAAAAGAAGCCAAAAAAAAAGAAAAAAGAAGAAAAGAATCGATGGTAACCAGTAGTGCTAAACACAACTGATATGAAGAACGGCTTTGCCGTGAACATCACAACAATGTCGTATAGTCCGCAACAATGTCTTCTCGTCCAGAACAGTGTCACTAGTTTGATAACCACACAACAATCAACACAGATTGACTTGCTAGCTGGTGTTTACTCTACACTTACCTTGCACTCTAGTGTAATCATTCGTTGTTTAGTAGCTGTAGAGAAATCGTTTGTCGCAATATTTCAACTTTCCTTCTTTCTCTCATTCTTTTTTACTTACGTTATTTTCTGGATGTTGTTGACAAGCAAGAATTGTTAATATAGAATTATGTATGAAGAACGACATGGTGAGCAATCCAGTAAAAGCCGGGAAATGCCATCTGAATTCTGAAACACTGAATTTATGGAGCACAGGATACAGGTTTAAAACTTCGGCGCTGGCCAATCCCTTAGGAACGCGCCATAATTTCAATGCATCTTTGGTCTACAAAATGACTTGCAAACGCCTAACAGCGCACGTCCTATCAGTCAAGCCTGATCCTAAATTGCCAATCTGAGAAGTGTGGAGGGCACAGCCCTTGTCGCTACTTCAAACCAACAACCACTTGTCTATTTGAGGATACCTCTAACCATGACGCTTAACAAGCCCCAAGTTTTATCAGCTAAAGTGGAAAGAACGTCTACATCTAATTTTATATGACTGCTTTGGGGGAGATGTGTGTTCAAAACTCCAATCGAAACACCGTTTCTATAAATTCCTGTTTATAGAAAATAGCATTTAATGAAAAGAGGAAAATAAGAGTTTTCGCGAGAAAGTGAACAGTCAGTAGAATTTGAAATCATTGAAATCATTAGTGTAAAAAAAGAATAAAGCTCTTGGTGTTGATCAATCCCTGAGGGATGTGCCACGCATTCGACTTCATTAAGTATCGTTGGGGGTGATTGCATGCTTATCTAGCCTTTACAATGACTCGTGGTGGCGATGTATCAAGCCAGTGCTGCTATCCTCTCAGACAAGTCTGGTAGGAATTTGACGACCCTGGATGGATGGAAGGCTTAGTAGGTCATGGGAGGGCAGGGATCGATTCCACATGTGTGTTGCAGGGCGCCTCTGACCACTGGGCCATACAAATCATTGGGTATGGTGACATATCTGTTGAGGACTTACGTTCAATGTAATGCGGTGAAGTATCGTTGATGAAATCCCAATGTGGTCCACATTTGACAAGTTGTATAGTGTTGAAGCCTATTAAATAGACGACAGAGACTGTTCCCAATGCAGTGAACTTAGTGAAGACTGTCGGTGACTTGAAATTCAACAGTGGAAACATCAACACAGCCAAGTAGATTGGGACGGTACGCTGCAAATAGTGTAGGTGTTCAACATATATTGGTTTTTGCTGCGATTTGCTTTCTCAACTATAACGATTCGCTTCCTACTAATTTTTAATGAGAGGGTATTATGTGAAATACAGTCATTTAAATTGTGATTTATACCATAACTTCAGCTTAATTAGGTTCACGCAGATTTGTGATCCCCAGATCAATCCCGTTGACGGGTGATTGCTGATAGCATCTGTAGGTCAATACAACGGCTGAGAGACAGGAGAAACGAAAGACTCGCATGATATGGTGGTGAACGCGTTAGTCCCGGAAAGGATAATAGTGTATTCGGTCACCACCGTAGAAACCAGCGGTCCGGCAGAAAAATGAGAATCTAAACGGCAATCACATGGTTAGCAGCTTCCCGAAAAACCCACCGTTTTACGTGCCTTCCACTGAGGAAGAGCTGCTGGTCGGAGTCCTATATGGTTGAGAACTGCACCTCCCGAAATCAGCGATCGGTGCGAAGGTACGGGAGAGGATCACGTGTGATTTCGGGTTATTCCTCCCTGTTATTCATTGTAGGGTTTTTGGCATTTATACAAAAAGCCTCAAAAAGGTCGCACGTTGGTGTTTGGGCATGTTGCGCGAGGATAGTGACCTTTATATCAAAATAGTCTCCGCTACGGTTTTATGCTATGCGTCTATAGTGGCGTACCTTGCCCTACTTTTCGTTTGCTATCCAGGTGTTCTTTTATGCGGTTACATAAAGGTCTGCCCGTTTCGCCAATATATTCGTCACTGCAAGTGTTACAAGAGATCAGGTATTTCGTACCTGAACTCATACAATCGCCGTCCTTGCCAAAAAGGCAAATAACGCAATTTTCTCTCTTACATAGACGGTAATACAGGCGGTTGCGAACTAACTGACGTCGAAGAGTATCGTTGATGTTGGGAGGCGCAGTTGTCAAGTATATGCGGCTCTGATCAGCGGCTCTTCCTCAGTGGAAGGCACGTAAAACGGTGGGTTCTTCGAGAAGCTGTTGACCATGTGATTGCCATTTAGATTCTCATTTTTTTGTATGAGTTATTGAAGCGTTTGACGTAGTAAATTGCATATCACCATGGCCTACCAAGCTTTGAAGAAGGCGATACTGCCGAAACGTCAGCTACGGTTGTGTTGTACGTGCGTTATTGTATGGAAGTAAACGTATGCTGTATAACAATATAGCGATTGCTGGGATAGAAAACGACGCATTTAGGCGATTTATGTTTACTGTTACAGACCTGAACTTTTCCACATCGCAATCACCAAAAACAGCCAGCAACCTTTTCATGGGAGGTTTTCCGTCTTGTTAGTAGGTCAAGGTTGTTAACGGAGCAAGTTTATACTTCTCTGCGGTACGAGATGGAAATGCCAAAGCATCGCTAGTCGTAGACAGCCTTTCGGTAGAGTGCGTTTGCTTCTATACGTCTCCGATTGATATCAAGAACTAGCTCTTCTCGACGATGAAGCGATAACCCAATAAGTGGGTATGTAGTTTATGAAAATTGCCTAGTTAACGCTAATAATCAATCTAATCAATAATCAATCGTTAATCAAACTGCTCAGGATGCGACAAGAATAAGATTCCATCGGTTATCGCGGTGGTGAATTAAAATATTAGCTTGTACAGCGTCATTTCTTCGGATAACTCTGCTACCAATAACGCGATACAGGAGGGATGTTCGAGTTGGTTAGCTCGGGACGCGGAATTCATCCGGCAAGAAAATGTGTATTGCAAGCACGCCGGACCATTGCGCCCCACACTGACACGCGGCCTATGGGGGTCTTACGCTGTGGTCAGATTGCAAAAGAAAAACATAATAGTTTTTTATATAGTAAAATTGTACTGACTCTTAACTGCCAAACATCTGCAAACGTTAAACCAAAAATGGTAGGTGAAGTACTAAGATTTTCTAGTGGTAGTGAACCAATGTCCATTCCACAATGCGCTGAAATTGATCCACATGAATAAAGACGTCTATAAAGAACACATTAAAAAATATAACTTCTTAATACATAAGTAAAATAAGGATCGCAAAGGCACCAACTATTACAAGTACTGCCGTTCCTATCATTACTTGGGATATTGTGTGGACTAAGGATACCTGAAGAGAGAAAAAATGTTCCTGGAAATATTTCTTAACAAAAAAATTATGGTCAGTAATACTTGGATACCTGGATAGCTCTCTTCACTGGTTGTGCGGCTCCCAGCTAGCCACTGTGGTTTTCTGGAGTCCTGAGGTCAACCCGACCAAAATCTGCCTCAGGCCGTCACCACCATTGGGAGTCGCCGATATTTGTGATCAGAGGGAGATTTGTCAACATGCAACCAGTTTCATAACAGGACGGTGGTAGATCCTGGCACTCGTTTACGCTTAGCAAGGCTTCCTGATGGAAACGCCGGACTCCTCAGTTTGGGAGACCATACCGTGGGGATGAATCCCCCCGGTGCATCGCAGCACGATACCCAGGAACACCTCCCAGCCACGACGAGCCGGTAAGCCACTAGGAGTTATGATCAGTAATATATTTAACAAATTACTGCGATTTTCAGTTCAGTTTTTTCACTAAAATGTTTCTATGCAGACTATTCTCCACCCCAAAATGAGTATCTCTCTTCCCCTCATGTTATTGCACTTAGCCAGGAAATGTTTTTTCCAAGCAGGAATATATGGAGGATCTCGGGGTCTTTCAAGGTTAAAAAATGAACTATGTGAACAGCTTGCTGTGATAGTTTTCTTATGGGTTTTAACGATATAAAAATGTGAAACTATCGAAAGGATTCAGATTGGAATCACGTAGAGTCGCTAAGAACACCAGATGTGTTGTATAAGAAACCACATTCATCGCTTATTTTTACAATGTCGTAAATTGTCATAATGACTGAAGTGAAACGTTGCTTCTAGAGCTTTTTTTTAAAATTATATTCAAAAAGAGACTTACCATAGAAAAGTATTCCGGTGAAATAGAAGAAATTTGACATCACCACCCAATAGGCCAGAACAGCGCCAATGAAGACAAAAATTGAAAATGAGACTGCTAGTATTTCACCGGGTCGACCGTACAATGAACGACAGATGTCCGGAAAATCATACAGCATCGGTTTTTCCAGACCTAAACGATAAATAGCGATATGGTCATATCTACATTTGCTTTCATATCATAATAAATGTTTTGAGCACGAGAAGGACAGTTGTTTCAGATGCTCTACAATATGAGCACTCTACCTACTGGCTCGATCTCGCCCTTTACCAACTAAGTACGTCATTCTTTTGCAGTTAGCAAAAGACATATCTAGAAACTTTCGATTTGGGAAAGTCGGCGCTAGCTGTGGTAATGGCTACGCAATGCTGTGGTAGGGGTATTCTTCTGTTCCACTGGAATCTAGCGGTCAAGCACTAAACACCCTTCATCAAGAAGCCCAAGTTTTCAAGTAGAACACTGAGCTATAAAGTGTATTTTAGATGACGCATACTAGGAAACCGGCCAATTACATAAGCGCTGAGATCAGCGCAACACGCTGCAATGAATTGTATAAATTAAAAATTGGTATGAAATGCTGAGATATTTGCAAAGCTCCGGACCACAGGTGTATGCAATGGAGAACGAACACGCGCTGTTGTCCTTACCGAGGAGTAGCGCATTTCACCACTACACCATCCGGGTCCTTCGCTTTGCATGTCTCTCAGCTAGTTCTATCGATCTTTTTTGCCGTCAGCAATCACCCGTCAACGGGATTGATCTGGGGAGCCAATATCGGCATTGAACCCAGTTAAGCTGAGGCTTAGTTATAATCACAATCTTAACTCTTTTATTTACCGCCTTTTTCTTCTTAACGGCGGGGTATGTTGCGAAATATAATTGGATAGAATTAAAAATTGGATCCTCCTTCTAGCAAGTTGAATGTGTCGGCCCTTCTCTTCATTGATATGTGGAAAACCGTCGCAAAAAAAGTTGGCACCTATAACGTGAATTCTACGTACCTAAGCGAATACTACCCTTCCAACAGTTTACCGCCTCATCGTGGCTGGGAGGAGTTCGTAGGTATCAAACTGCGATGTAAGGGATTTGTCTTTACGGCAGAGTCTCTCAAGCTCAGGAGTCCGGCGTTTCCATCAGGAAGCCTAGCTAAGAGTAAACTAATACCAGGATCAGCCACCGTCCTGATATCAAAGTCGCATTGGTGGCAAATCTCCCTCTGATTCACAAGGGCTGCGACTGTCCGTAGTGCTGAAGACCTCGGGCAGGCTATGGCCAGGCTGACCTCGGGATTCCAGGGAACCAGAATGGCTTAACCAGCAAATCTCCAAAAAATAGTGATTATGTTGGGGCCCGCACAACCAGTGAGGACTGTCCGTTCAAGTGTCAAGTGTCAAGTGAATATTATTTCCTGGTATTTATTAACATATTACGTCCAGAATAAGGGTGCGTGTGGCGCAGTGGTCGGAGGGACTCTGTAACACACACGTGGAACAGATACTCGCGCACATGACCCACCAAGTCTTCCATATCTCCGGGGTCGGCAAATTGGTACCAGACTTGTATGGGAGGACAGCAGCACTGATTCAATACATCGGTAGGCTACCTCGAGTCATTGCAAAAGCCAGATATGCATTCAATCACCTACAAACATTGTATCCTTTTTATCCTTTTTACATTAAAAATCACCATATTATTAATAGGTTTCTAAAACTTTAAAAAGTGAAAGTAGCGTCATCTCTTACCTAACTTGTTTTTGCTCGAAGTTACTAAATAAGCTGTATAAGATGTAATCATTCCAACTGCCACCAATAGTAATAAACCGAAGCCGAATCCAGCCTATAACATACTTAAACACTTTGAAAGTTTATGAGGACTTAATAGTTTCTCGGTAAGTGCTGGATACTGAAAACGGGAAACAAAAAGTGATCAAATTGAAGGTTAAAGAAGAAGCAAAAAAAACATTAACGGTGTCCGAAGTCATAATTTAGTTCTTCTATCCCGATCTACGTGTATAATTGGATGGTCACTATTTCTGCAACAAATTCTAGTGGTCATTCAACTTCGTTCAGAATCTGAGCAATATGTACTTGCGCAGGGCTTATGTGGCGCAGCAGCTTCAGGTGTTCTGCAATACACACGTCGTCAATTGTTCCCTGTGTATGAGACTCACCCCATTCCACTGGGGTCCCCAAATTGGTAGCAAACTTGTCTGCGAGGATAGCAGCACTGACTCGACACACCGCTAAATAATGAGCTAGGTAGCTGTCCTTCAGTGTCATAAAGGATTGGATTTTCTGCTTTTGGCACGGCAGACTAACTTTTATCACTTTTTTATCAATCATAAGGCGTGAAAGGCTTAACACTGATAAGTTACTTAGAGCTGTATTGTGAACCTTCAGCTCCATTAATCACCATTTATATAATCAAATGCATTAAGTGCATATTTGGCCTACGCATTCACTCATGGTGACCTATTAATGTAGCCAGTCAGTGTTGCTATCCTTCTGGCCAAGTCTAGTACCAATCCATCCTCGATGGATGGCAGACTTGATGAGCCTGGGCGCAAGATCGAACCAGAAACCACGTGTTTGTTGCAGAGTACATCTAACCACTGTGCAACACGCACACCGATTAGCTCCAGCACTGTAAAGCAGTAAAGTGATTACGGAGTCCACGGAACCGTATCCCACAAGTCAGCTCCATTTCTACTTCAGGGCTGTTGCAAAACCGTCATTATTGCTAGCTAAAATGGCAGATTCTAGTGAGATACCTATTTGCACATCTCTATGACATATATGGCGCTTTATTATCATTATTATTTTTATTGTTATTATTATTGCTGTTATTTTTGTAGTTATTATTGTAACTTTTTAACGAACACTAAATTAGGTTTAATGATGCTGAGATATTTGCAAAACTCCGGATAGCAGGTGTCTGCGGTGGGTAGCGAACGCGCTATTGTCCTTTCCGGAGAGTAACGCATGCACCACCACACCATGAGGGTCCTTCGTTTCGCCTGTCTTTCAGTTAGTTCTATTGAACTAAATTAGGTGTTAAGTACACTTAACGGACAGTTGACACAGTATTAATAATGTCGTTCGTTTTACTCTATTTTAACTGCGCCCGTGGCCCACCATACTTTCCATACTTCCAAACTCAGAAAATTAGTACACTCAAATGCTTCAAAGGCATTTGTGGATGGTGGGTGCAAGGAAACGAATTGAATTCAAGAAGCACTGGGATCGGCTTAGTATGCGATGTCAGGTCACGTAGAAAAACCTTAAATAAGTATTAGGCACTAATATTAATAAATACTAAGTGAAAAGAATTGAATATTAAATATTGTCATTCGCTCTTCGTTTATTAGTCCATGATAACTTTGGAACACACCAATAGATTGGCACCATAACCTACAAGATAATGAGTTAATCTACTTGTGACAGTATTCAAAATGACTCAAAAAAATCAATTGTTTATGCACTTTGGCGTAAACAATCAATATGTCTATATCCTTACAGTATGGATAGTTAGCATATCTATATATGTTCTTACGAATTGCCCTTGTTGAGCTGATGCGAATTTGGTATGAGTTGTCGTCGCTGTTACTGTTGCTGTTCGATGGCTGATGTTTTGCAAACTTCGCCTTCTCCAGACCCGTGTTGTTGCGAATGGGAGCACCCGTTGGTTCCATATATTCAATATTGACTGACCGTTGAGTTATTCCACCGAAGTGTGTGAAGTTCATTAGTTAAGAATATCATGCGACGATGCGCGCTTGGTTCCCATTTCGATTCCGTGGAGTACTCAACAGCTCTCCTGTCGGCATGACGCCAAACTTTTCTGTGAAAAGCTTTCTTCTATCCATAATGCTCGGATAGTCTTTGTGGTACCAGAGGTGGGACCATTCCGCTAAAGGTATTCTGCTATTCCAGAAAGAATCGATTCGACTAACACCCAATGACGTCCCTGGAGAAGACAAGGCCCTCAAGTAAGACCTGAATCCAATAGAAAACATGGACGATGGATGTGAGACCACGAGTCGAACCGTTGTTGGTTTCCGAAAAATATCTCAATTCGAGTGATGTAAACAAATGTTTAAAGAAGAAGCGCTCACTGTGGGTATATGGCGCTCTCACCTGATACAACCCCCATGGTATGCACAGTGTCGATACTCCCATCATTGAATTCCAAATAGAGAATCTGAAAATAGTCATATTAATATAAGATAATCGAGCAGCTTGATATATGAGTAGATTGCCTTGACGAATTGCCCGTGCTTCAACATTTCTAAACATGATTTTGAAATGCTTCTGAACGATATGACAGAACTTGTCTCTCTGTTAAAATTGACGATATTGTGATTTATACCATAACTTCAGCTTAACTGGGTTTATGTCGACTTGTGCTCTTCAGATCAATCCTTTTTACTGCTGATTGCTCACAGCGTCAATAGGTCAATAAGACGACTGAGAGACTGGCGAAACCAAAGATCCGTATGGTGTGGTGTCGAACGCGTTAACCCCCGGAAAGGGTATTAGCGTGTTCGGTCCACACCGTAGACACCAGCGATCCGGAGTTTTGCAAGTATTTCAGCAACATTGTGGTTATAAATCTGTTTTTTAGGATTTCAGAGATAACTGTGCTAGCGTGCAGTTTTCATGACAGTAAGCCACCAAAACAGGTCCCCTACAAAGACTGTCTTAGGAAGGAAAATTGAAGTAAAACATAAAGTAAAAATCAAAGCAGAGTTACTAAGTGAACATCCTCACATGGTGACGATGCTGCTTTGCACTTCTTTTTCGCGTGAGAGTGGTCGGTATGTTGACGGCTCGGTTGTATCGGTCGACACGAAGACAATAGCAGACATTTCTCTAATCGAAGATCTCGCCTGCGACTAAACTTTATTTTTTAATTTCTTTCCCCTTCTTTGACTTGAATTTTTAAAGCTCTCAGCTTCAAATGGCATGTTAAAATTTTTATGGGGAAAAACGGCTGAAGAAAGGTTTTGACTGTATTAGATCTCCGAAGATAAGTTTATCAAACATGCCGTGAACTGATGGTCAACTAGTGCAACTAAAATATGAATCTTGTCGAGATTGAGACCTAACCTTTTCTAGTTAGTTCAACGTAAGCTTAAAATCATCCCAGCCTAACAATATCCCACTTCGATTACTTCGTAATGCTAAGATATTACGAAGCTGGTTTTTTGACGGCTACAAATGACTTTTCGATTCCTAATGTGCTCGGATAAAAAAGGATAAAGGATGAAGCTCCCAGCGTTGATCAACCCGTGAGGGATGCACCGTGCGTTCGACTTCATAAGCATCGTTTGGAGGTGATCGAATGCAAATCTGGCCTTTACAATGACCAGCGGTGGCCTATCGATATATCAAACCAGTGCTGCTATTCTCCCAAACAAGTCTGGTACCGATTTTCCGACCACACAGGAATGGAAGGCCTGCTGGGCCATGAACGCGAGGATCGGTTCCATGTGTGTGTTGCAGGGCGCCTCCGACCAATGCGCCACACGCACCCTTTAAATGGGTTTGACGATTTTAAAAAATCATGAACTCATAAACATAACTTTTTGGGAGCATATAAAGTTTAATACCTAAAACGGCTTGTGCAGTTCCACCAGTTATAAACATCAACGATGGAACCGTGAGCATCACAGCATTCTTCTAGACAGAAATCCGCCTCTTCAAATTCATTAGCGTTTCAGATGTGAACGATAACGTCGAACCGTCTCTCTCTTTATTCGTTCATTTTCCATCGTGGCTGTCAATGATCGGTGGTTCTGTATCTTTTATTGTTGCCTTATCTTCATTGGATGATGATGACAGTGCGAAAGGGGTCGTTTCAGCTTATTGATAGCACACGAGGTATGAAATTCGCAAGAATTGCTGTTCTTTTTCATCAGTTGATGACGGCACCATTGATTTGTTAGACTACCGAGAGGGCAAACATTTTCAATCAGTTTCGCTCCTCTTTGTTTTGCCTATCTCAAGATGCGAAGTAGATTTAAAATGATGACAAAACTCAAGAACTGGTAGGAGACAAACAAGACGGCCACAGACGCCGCTCTAGTTGGACCGTCGCAGTTAGGCTTTCTCATGGTCTCTATTAAATGAGTGAACAAAACCCTACTTATTTTCGCTTTACATTGCTTACACAGAGAAGCAGCCATTCATCAACGAACGCAATCTATTTATTTCTACATTGTGCTTAGTTATCCATACACAAAAATGTTGTTAAGAAAAAGCAGCGAGTAAAGAACAAAATGCTTACATCGCTTCCAAATGTTGAACCGTGCTCCGTGATATACTTCATTTGAGAATGAACCCTACTCAACAATGTATTTTGTACTAACACCCTATCAATTATTTTTCCAAGGTCTGTAATACATAAAAAAGGCATGAATGATGGAACTATTGGTGTTGATTAATCCCTTAGGGACACGTCATGCATTCGAGTTCACCAAGCACCGTTAGAGGTGATTGAATGCAACAATAACAACACAATAACTTGGGTTACTCTACCGACGTATCAAGCAAGTGTTGTTGTTCTTCCATACAAGTCTGATATTAATTTGCCGACCAAGGAAGGACAGAAACCATGGTTAGGCCGGGGTGCTGTATCGAACTAGCGACTTATATCGTAGGGCGCCTCTAACCATTTTTCTACAACCTCAAATGCAAAACGTACGTATTCAAAACACCGAATCTGTTGTCTAAAACTAACTTATGTTTAGAATAATTTCACAACCTCTACTAGTGAAGCATAACGCACTCGTTCTTAGCTTGGCGAACATTCACGTGAACTAAACTCCCGCTGTATATGAGCACAAAGAAGCATCCTCGCAAACAAGTTGAGTTAATAGTAAGCACATCAGTGTGATGTTAGGCCAGCAATCCACTATTACCTTTTTACCAAAAGCAGTTCAGATGAAGGAAGAAAGCTCCAAAAGTCAGGTGTACTCGACGAACTAGTTGGGCTTGCTGTGCTCTGATGCCCGACAGAGATAAGGGACAGTTTCATTGGTGCCTGAGTGAGTTGCTAGATAATTAGCGAGATTACAGGTGTCGCAGGTTAAGTAATAGATGTCTCTACCTAATTTGCCGTGTGCCAAGTTTGCTCAACTTTGCTCACTTGTGAGGATTAAAGTTATTCTTTTATTACTGCGAGCTGTTTTTATACAATTGATTGCCGCACAATTATTTCGAGGGTTGCCCTCGGATGGAAACTATGATGTACATCTGGACGTTAATCTCCCAGCAGAGTCATATAAGCGGGTAAGGAGTTTCTGCTATTCGAAAGACTAGAAGAAAGTAAACCAAAGCGAAGAGTTGCCAACGACTCAGAAGGAACTTACTTACAAAGCGGCCATCGCCCTTTCACTGACGACTTCTCATGGGCGTATTTTGAAAGCGGTCTAAGCCGACTGTCTCTAGACAACAAGGAAAAATTCAAGTCAAACCAGCAGCGTACCAGTTGAATGCGAGTGTGCTTACATTATTACTCGTTATGATATACCGTTCAACAATCAAGTATTAATTTCTGAAAACTGCTACTTTTTACCACTCTCGTGTTAGCTTATCAATCAAACAACGTGTTGATTAGTCACACTGAGGTTTAAGGAAGATAGAAGGATAAAGCATAGAGCTCTTGGCGTTGATCAATCCCTAAGGAATGAGCCAAGCATTCGACTTCATTAAGCATAGTTTAGAGGTGATTGAACGCATAACTGTCCTTTACAATGACTTGCGGTGGCCTGCCGACGTATCGAGCCAGTGCTCCTATCCTCCCAGACAAGTGTAGTGCCAATTTGCCGACCTCTGAGGGTGAAAGGCTTGGTTGGCCATGGGTACAAGGACCGATTCCACGGGGGTGTCGCAGGGCGCCTTCGACCACTGCGCCACACGCTCCCAACGAAAATAGCTTTGCGAAATATTGTTACCCTCTTTACTATCTGGCAATAGTGCCGACTGCTGTAGGATGAATTTTGCGGAAAAAAACAAATGATTAACAGTGTACAATCAGTGTCAACAACCGTGCTCTATAAAAGAGTGCTGCCGAGTGGGACTACTTCATCCTGCCTGCATTCGGCTCGATACGAAATCGAAGATACCTGTCGAAAAAGTAACAATTGTGGATAATCGACCCGGACCAATGTCGCTTTGAAAAAGGCGAAGACGCCGAAACGCAAACATTAGCCAAACAGTGTTTTCTATTAACGTCGTGCTAGTTCATCAGCGAAAAAATACATGTGACTCAATCGTATTACTTGAAACTACATAATTCCTAAGAATTTGTGCTATAAGTATACCGCGAAGTGGTCATTTCATAAAACGCGATTCTATTGATGCTTAAGTCTTCTGGATTCCACTTTATAAAAACTCACTATGGAGCAAAGGATACCTTTAGACAATAACTCGAATTACTGTAGCTTCAAAAATTAGTGGGCTCCGAGACATTAGGCGAATAGAGGCTCCATAGTAATCTCGTGTAAGCCGAACAGTCCAAAAAGATTCAGCTTACTTCAAAAGAAACTGTAAGTGGCAAAGACGTTTAAAATTCATCGAATTATTTGTGAGATTAATGACAAGACGTTCGACCTTGAGCTTTCCTCTAAAGATGAACCGTGAATTCTGATATCCTTAAACATCGCAAAGATGGTTGAATGCACATTTATCCTATAAAATGAATGAAAGTAAATAAAATCAAAAAGCACACTTATCCTTCCAGATAATTCATCCGATGCAAACCTGGATGCCGGTGATGTGAAAACGAACTAACAAGCACATGCCTATTGCATACTTCCTCTAACAACCGCGCTACACTCACATGTAATTGTAAATTACCTTTGTTATTATCTTAACTTTTTTATTTACTGCCCAATACAGTTTTTCTCAGCTGGGTATTATATGAAGTTGAACCACAGTGATGCTGAGATATATGCAAAACTCCAGACAGCAGGTGTCTGCGTTGGGGATCGAACCCTGTATTAGCCTTTCCGTAAGCTGACATATTCACCACCATACCATGCTCGTCTTTTGTTTCCTCTTTCTCTCAGCTAGTTCACCGTTGCCATTTTTATTTCAAATTCATATATCAAACACAAAACCGTTTATTTCAGCCAGAAGTTGAAAATTTTAAAACACATTTAACAGAAATAGGTATGACACAACCATAATGATGCTGAGAAATTTGCAAAACTCCGGACAACAGGTGTCTGCGGTGGGGAAAGAATGCTCTTTTACCCTTTCCGAGGTCTAACGCGTTCACCACCACACTATGCGAGTCCTTTGTTTTCTTTTGCAAATATCTTAGCACCATTGTGGTTGTATCACACACCTGTGAAATCCTTATCCCTATCACTATCCCTTATCCCTTGCAATATCCCTGCCATAAAAAATTGCAATAGGCAGTAAGTAAAAGTTTACACAGAAATAAGTATTTTACACACAGTTATAACTGTGTTCTTCTGTGTAGTGAAATCAACAGCTGACTAGTGATTCTACTATTCCCAAACTGATGCACACGCGTACGCATCTGCAACCGCATACACATATGCAAACGCACACGCATGCGCATGCGAGCAATCCTGCCATCCACTGTGCGGATCCGAGCGCTTTTTGCATTCGATTTGTTTCCTCGTATCCGTTATCGATGAAGGCTTTCAAACTTCCCCTGTATGTATTCGGTTGCTGCTCGAGGATTGTCCTCTTCTTTATTGCAATGTCGTTGAATCATGGTCGGGTCGACGCTCCCTGAATTCCTATAATAACACGGCTATCGCGTTCCTAGTTGAATTACCGAGAGTGATTTTTCTCGGAAAAATTCGGTATTACTTTCCCGACGCCGGAGGGACGATTTAGTGGGCTACTATCAAACTAAAAGGAAACCTAACTACTTGTTCGTAAACAACTTTGAGGCTTTAAACTAAATTCCGTTACTGTGTGGACCAAACTCCACAACAGATCTTTCACCCAATTAAGGATTACGGTTTATACAAAACAAAACATTTATCAATTCGTAATAACAATAGATATATAATTATGTACAGAATAATATAAACCGGCAAGAAGGCTAATGCTAGGCACTGTTAAAGCTGAAAACAAAACCCGTCAGTGAGAAAATGAAAACTCTACAAATCAACTTTCGCGTATTCAGCGAGCCTGTTCTGTTTTTCCGAAACCCGAACAGGACATTTTCTTTGACATCTGAAGCGAATGAGGACGCAGATGAAAAACATGATGGCTAGAGACATAACGATCAGAAGACATTCAAACTGTAGAAATTTGTTGAGGCGAACGACCGGTACATTTGGTTCAATACGTATTCGAACTTCAGCCGAAGCTTCCCTTCCTATGAGATCGTAGTTTATGAGACGCACTACGTACTCGCACTGATTGCCCGGAAGCGCAACCTCGGCGGACATAGCGGTCTGGAACAATTTTAGTTGGTAACATGCGTTGTGAAGCTAGAAATATAACATAGAAATGAGAAATAAACTTGCCGCTTTAACGTTGACAACTTGCTTACGCATTTCGCATCCAGTATTATGAGTTAAAGAATAGTAAGCTACTTGGTAGAAGAGAACGTTTTGTTGATCAGCTGAGGGTTTCCAGGAAATCACTCCTGTTCCATTAGGGCGATAGACAACTGCTAAGTCGAATACTGGTTCGGGTACTGAAAATGGAGGAGTTTATTAGAAATCAATGAAGATCGAACTCGCTTTCCTCAACTCACAACATTGAAGTGATCCATGTCCATGAACATCTTTACACTGAAGTGATCGAAAGTGTGCTGTTACCGATTTACTGGTTTGAGTCTTATCCGCCGAAACGGCAGCTATCGTTACCAAATAGTTGGTGTCAAATTCAAGAGTTGGGAGAAGAACAGATGGGGAAGAGTCCTAAAGAAAAGAAAAAAACAACATGACAGCTGGATTACAAGTCCTGTCAAAAATGAACTAACCAAAGTGATGTCGGTAGTTATTTGAAAAGTACTATTACTCAGTTGAAGTTTGTAGTAGCACGAATCGAAAGATGTGCGGGACCACTGAAGGTGTGCAATAACACCACGGTCCGAATTGTAGCCGTTGCTTATCCTCAGCGAATTTTCTAAAAATTGCAGAATTTCCGAAACCATATGGATTTTCTTCGAAGTAGAATTTTCTATTATTTTCTACTATACGCTCGATATTCTGCAACAAAAGAGCGCTTTGGAAAATGTACGTTTTAGCATCTGCTCTTCATGCTCGTCCGCTTAAAGTTTTAAAGTTTCTCTCGTCTCTAAACACTTCTTCTAAGTGAATCACAGCCCATATTCTTTACTGGAACGAATACAAAATTACCTGGAGCTTTTGGTGTCACGCCGTTAGAGATTTCTGTCCACGGACTAGTGATAGTGTCTCCCAGTCTACCGTTTGTGCCAACAGCTGTTACCATAAACCGATATTGAAGACCGGGAATGAGTCCCCTAACTTTGAATAATGTATCATGTTCCACCTGAAATCTATTGGCGCTATAAATGTCGCGGTAATCTAAAATTAACGGCTAAATGAAGTCTAAAAGTCTTAAAAAGTTCGATTTCACATATTTTGTAGAGCCCATCACAATAATTGCCCTCCTTATCTAGCATACATCGTCCTTTTGATTTGTGTGAAGGTTCAAATACCACTTGAAAAGTTTGCCTTCATGGATGACATTGAGTGCCAGTGAAGCACTTTCTTCCTGGAATCCTGGAATGGCACTGCTAGAGTGTTCCTAAGAGTCATTACCGCAGGCAGCCAACAGCTTTTGTGGAAAGGAGAAAGCTCTTTTCGGACAAATCTGGACCCGGCTTCCCGATCCCGGAAGTACTGAAACCTCGCTTTTTCTGATGTGGGATTGAAAAACGACTACGTGAGCATTGAACGATACCCCTAACCACAGTTCTTCCTGCGCTCTAATGTTTACAATAAGTGTTGTTTATTTGCGATAGTAAATCATACTGAAGCTGTTATCCACTGGCTTTCTTCATAGTGTCCTTTCATTTCGGTTCGTTGCTTCCATTGAACTACGAACCTTAAATACATACAAAGTTTCGTCTCAGGTATGAAGAATTTACTAGGAATAATCGAATCAAATTAGTATACCTGGTCGGTCCAACAGGTCTTATAAGTGAGATGCTAAGAAAACCCTCTACAGATTCACCAAATTCTTCATCCAGTACTGAATTTTGACAGAGTAGGTGAACCGATAACACCGCAGTTGAACCAACTTTTGCTAAAAGGGATAAACGATAGATAGGTGTGAATCTCAAACATATACAAGCCGATTTGGTTTTATTCTCAGTGGGCTTAGCTCCTGATTTGCTCAGAATGTCAATGGTTCGCTACAATACGATAAGATAACGAACCGCTGTCGGCACTACTGGCGGCCCAGTAACGCCAACCATCATGCATTGGTGAGTTCTGCGAGAGAACTCGTGAGCTTCCTCGTGCATGAAGTCGACGATGTTGATGGCATCCAGATTCGCACTAAACAACTGTGTGTATTTTGTTTATTTTCATCGACAATTCTCAAATAGAAAATCATACAGCTTCACATTCAGCGTTATGAACGCTTAGAAACTCTTCGGAAGTACCATCGAGAAGCTGTCGACTTGTCAAAATGCCGTACTGAAAACAATTATAATTATCATTTGAAATCAACCCCCAGCGATGCTGAGATATTCGCGAAATTTGGACCCTGGACCAGGTCGAACCACGATTTTCCTTTCCGGGGGCTCGCGCATTACACATTGCGCCGCCACGAAGGCTTTTGCTCTGCGTTTCAAACCGGTTGACGGCTTATTGCTGATGGCACTGGTAGATAGAAAACTAGCTGAGAGAAACGGAGAACAAGGGCCTCCGTGGCATAGTATGTAATGTGCGACCTCTGGAAAGGTAAATCGTGTTTCGACCTGGCTCTGGGTCGAAGTTTTGCGAATATCTCAGCGTCGTTGTGGTTGATTTCGCATAAGGCCCTACCTTGAAAATTGTAGTAGGCAGTAAACAAGAAAATAAACGTTATAATTATTATTTTCTGTAAAACAAAAATCGTCACAACACATAGGATCGTCGTTAGTGAGAGTGCTATCCAACCTTTTGTGTACACATAGCTTGACATTGTGCTAAGCGAAAATAATGCGCGTAGTCAATCTGAATATACGGTAGCATAGGGAATGCGACTGAGGCATACTGTAGCATTACCATTATATACAGATGCCGCATCTGTAAGCAGTCTTCATTTTGGATTAGTGCATATGTTTAAGGAACTTCCACTGCTCCTATGAACATAGGCAAGTCTTTTAGGAAAAATTAGGACGGCGATGACAGTTAAACATGCACGAACGCGAAAACGGACGAGGTGATAAGAAATTTCTTGAAAACATAATAACAAAGACGTTAAATTTCCGAATATCGAGTAATAATAAAAAGCCAATGGATCGATAGTCGATTAGAAAACTGAATAGCGTAACTGCATAAGCTAAATGGAAAGGCTTTATGTTTCTATAAATGAACTTCCTGCTTAGGCATCGTAAAAATTTGAAGCGCTTACTCCTGTTTTCGAACCGGACGGGAATTATGTTATCGGCAAATTAGTGTTGAAGTGCCTTCAATGAAATGTTGCGTGTGAGAAACATTCGGACTATTTTAAAATCATTATATCCGCCTGAGTACCTGAGAAACGGTAGAATAAATATTCCATCTTGTTGGAAACTTATTCCAAGAACTATGGGCTGATTAACTCTTAATTTCCTTGAAAATCTCCAAGATTGTAAACAGCAACTCACATCAATGGAAGTATTGGCGTTCCTACGATGATTTCTAGAGTAATTTTTAAAGATACACAGAAAAAGAAACTCGATGCCTGCCAAGTGGATGAATAGAGAAGTACGGAAAGCCTTTTTGTTTACTGGTTGAACAACGTCGAGAATATTCTTATAGAAAATGAACATCTAGCAAGATAGATTTTAGAAAAAGAAAGTTCGAAAGGTTAAGAAACAAAGCGAATGTGAAAGGATCAATGCACTCGCAACCAATTTTGAACGTTCAATTACCTATTACTGGTATTCACTAATGTGTCATGAGGATGTGGTGAGGCCTCAAGCAAATATCACCATTCGGGTCAACGGTGTTCTTGGCCGAGTGTCAACACATTTCATTGTCACACACGAATGGCATGTAAGGTGTCATCGGAAGTTACGGTCAACACGAGAATGTCTGCCACTACTTCCAATGCGGAATTACATCTTGCCATGCCAACGAAAATTGTTGTTATTCAGTGATGTTTTTTAAAAGGCGTGGTGATATTATTCTTCATTGTCGTTAATCGTTCCTAACACCCATTAGGGTTGCCAGACTCCATGAAAAATAAGCAGCTGATCACATTTTTTGTGAAAGAACTTCATTCTGAGAGTTTCTGGTGAAGAACAGCCAACAATTAGCTTTTATCAGCCTATGGCGCGAAGAAATGGGTAAATTTCGCAAGTGCTCCCAGAGTGGGTATGAAGCCTATTCGTTGCAGACGACTTCAAACCGTCCCATATGTAATTCCGTGCCAGCTGATTGCATGCTTTCGGCTCTGTGCAGGTGTTCGGATGCAATTCACATACAACACATGCACATCTACGCACGCACTCCTGTATGTACGGTGGGTGTAAAAAAATCCCATAAACCGAAAAAGTGGGCTTTATCCTCTGAATATACATGAGTACAAAAGCTAACATAAGATTTACTTCTGGTTCGCGTTTAACCCAATTCTGCGCTTAGCACTATATCTCCTTTATAGAACTCGCCACATAACCCAATGCATACTGAGTCGAGATCTCACGTGTGACAATGTTCCGTGATTTCATCCACTGAATTTTTGAATTGTTCGAGGTATTCGAATAGATAACTACGTGATTTTTCAAATAAATAGTTCATTTCATTATTTCAGTGTTCAGATTCAGTACCAGTGCAAACGATCTCTAACTTAGAAGTTTAAACAAGGGAACCTTTTCTAACAAACGTTTTAGTTGCAATAAAAAAATGGTCAATTTCTCGGCGCTGATCAATCTCAGGGAGATTCGTCATGCCTTTGATTTCATTAAGCATCGTTGGAGGTGACAGAATGCGTATCTGGACCATACTGTGACACACAATGCCTACTGATGTGCCGAGTTAGTGCAGCTATGCTCCTAAAGAGGTCTGCTACTTATACCAACCTCGCATAAGCTCAACAAGGGCAGTCCATAAGAAAATATATATCGATCTGGTACCAATTTACCGAGTCCGGATGGGTGAAACGCTTGGTGAACTGAGACGTGGAATCTATCCCATTTGCATTACAGGGCACCTCTAATCAACCACTACGCTACGCGAGCCCGCTGCAGGCATCAACGAATTGTAATAAATAGTCCATTAATATGTAGAAAAACACGTTGGTACCACTGTACTCAAGCTAATGTACATCAAGCTATTTTGAAACATGGAATTTTCAAATGGTTCACAGAAAGAACCTCATAGAAGACCAAGAATCATGAAAGCAATTAATCCATTTTATAACACAAAAAGCACCCGCGTCGAGGAAATGTCAATGAAGACGGTGTCGCGGGATGTTTTAGCGCTTTGCCATTATCTTTATTCAAAACTACAAGAGAGTTCCGTAAAATGCTCCATAATCAATACAAATTCTCAAAACAAAAAGAATGATATCTGTCGCTGGAAGATTCACACTGATTCCTGTGTATACAAGGAAAAAACCAAAGAGAACACTTGAAGGGAAATAAAACAAAACGAACGAAACGAGTGACACCGATGGGGTATGTATGTGAGGGAATAGAGTGGCTGGGATTTTAACTACCTACACTATCAAGGTCGTCAATGAAAAATCGTCGGGCAGAGATCGACAATCAAGCCCATAAATGCGCGCCTAACATTATGCAACCAGTCTATTCAAACTAAGACAATAAAAGCTTCGTTTTCAACTACGCTGTTGATTCAAGGTGGATAGAGAATCCAGAAAAGGCCCAGTGAATTGTGCTGTTGTTGCTGCTGAATGACGACAGAATGACATTCGAGAGCACTATTGTGAAAATTTTTGCTTCGCTTTACGTCAACACATAAAATAACGCGGGTACGAGTTCGAGTTTACAAGTACGGGTTATCGCTACCTAAAAGTTTCCTTAAGTACTTGTATTAATAATATTCTACGGCAAGCTAATATTTCTAACTTAAGCAGATCGAGGAAAATAGGCAAAGCGATACTTCAATGAAAAGTGAAGCTCGGAGAAATAAAAAAAAAACAACGAATACTAAAAAGGACTGGGTTTAAAGAAAACTAAGCAATTCTAAAACCTATTTAAGAGTATGGGCGCGTGCGACGCAGTGGTCGGAGGCGCCCTGCACCGCACACGTGGAATCGATCCTGGCTCCCATGGCCCACCAAGCCTTCTATCCCTCTGAGGTCGGCAAATTGGTACCAGACTTGTCTAGGAGGATAGTAGCATTGGCTCAATACATTGGTGGGCCACCGCGAATCATTGTAAAGGCCAGATATGCATTCAATCACCTCCAGACGATGCTTAATGAAGTCGAATGCATGGCGCATCCCTCAGGATTGATCAAAGCAGAGACCTTTATCCTTTATCCTTCCTATTTTATCCTTTATCCTTTAGCCTTTATACTTTATCTTTTGTCCTTTACACATTATTTAAGAGCATTGTAATGTTTCATGTAAGATATTACGGTTTTAAAGTTACACTATTAAATGGCTACGTCATTAGAGCCGGTCTACGGAGACTAGTGGATTATTCGAACACTTTTAGCTACTAATTGAGATTGGCTCTAGTTAAAAACCATTACATAAAGCCCATTAGATTATACACAAAGAACAATGACCATTACTGCAGAAGAAAAGGTCATGATGAGATGAGCAAAGGAATGAGACGGGTGTTCAAATAAAACACAGCTGAAACCAGTATTTTTGGAGAAATGAAAAGGTTATATGACGTCTATTCTTAAATAACCGAAAAAGAACAGAGTGCAGCGATGCTACAATAAAATGAAGTACCTATCAATAAGGAAATAAACAGCTGGAAGACCGAGTTATGCGAACGAGATCATTTAAAAATAAAAAATCATGTAAAAACGAGTTCACTTTTAACTAAAGAGTAGGAATAATAGATGTTAACGTTCTGCATTGACCTATATCCGTGAGGGATGCGCCAAGGGCTATCGACTCCATTAAAGATCCTAGAGGTGATCGTATGCATAATTGTATGCATGACATATTTGGCCTATACAATGACTTGCGGTGGCGCACTGATGTATCAAAATTCAGTACCTCTGTCTCTCTAGACAACTTTTTCACCAATTTTTCAACTCAGGGGAAATGGAGGGCTTGTTTGGCGGTGAAGGATTTTGCGATGGACTACGTGTGTATGCTAGGGCATCTCTAACCATTATACTAAACGAGTCTTCAACCAAACAATAATAATTAAATTTTGAGTGTTAAACAACGTGATGTTCGTAGCACTGCCTCGGCAAAGTAACTCAAGTCGAAAAGAGGTCTTTTTTTCTACTTAACAGCTCCTCTAAGCGTAAACTTCTGCCATTACACAAACGGGCTAATCATCTTCGGCTAGCTCATCGCTAAAAATGGAAGGCATGATGCGAAAATGATGATACTCCTTTTGTCACTCGGACGAGCTCCAATCACTACCTATCCCTGACTGACGGCAAAACGAATTGAAGCCTTGCTAGTTTCAACTCGAATTTTGAGACAATTAAAGTTAACCAGAAATTGATGCCTGATTTCAAACTAAGTTTTCAAAGTGCTATACCTTATCACAGAATAAACTTTATTAATCGTAATAAAACCATTAGAATCTAAACAGTTTTGAGAACGACAAAGAAGTATTTTTCAACACAACGTTGCAGAGATATTTGCAAAACTCTGGACTGCAGGTGTCTATGGTGGGGAACGAACGCTCTATTGTCTTTTCCGGGGAGTAACGCGTTCACCACCACACCATGCCGGTCCTTTGTTTCGTCTGTCTCTCAGCTATTTCTATCGATCTTTGCCACAGCAATCACCCTTCAGCGGGATTGATCTGGGGCGCCCAAATCGGCATAGAACCCAGTTAAGCTGCGGCTGTAGTTGAAATCACAATGTTATACCTTTTCATTTTTTGCCTACTATAATTATATAGGTATTATAAAAATAA